TGTAGCTACCAACCTTACGCTTGAGGGGTACTAAGTGCTCGACCGCAGCGGGCCCGACTCTCCAGGACAGGGAGATCGGTGTTCCGGGCGGTTGAACACTACAATATATATTTATATAAATACAAATATAATTTATAAGTTATAAAAATACTTATATCAATATATAAATAATTATAAATATTAAATAGATTATTTCAAATGGTAAAACACTGCATTTAATAATATATTTAATTTTAATGGTAACTATAAATAATTTTAAGCTATTATTTCTAGCATATTATGTTTAAAAATATTATTGTAAAATATGTTACAAAATTATTATCATTTTATTTAAATAACACCGGAAAATTTATTGATGTTTATGTATTAATAGTTTATATTTTTAAAGATTATACTGTAATCATTTATAATTAAATAATTTTATAAATATAAACTTAATCTAAACAATTATTACTGTATAACAATAATTGTTTAACATAAACTACATTGTATTAAAAACACCGGCGTTGTATACAAGTCCGCCGTCGACCACCAGATTAGCGCCGGTAATAAAGTGTGCGTCAGTGGAGGCCAGGAATGCGACCGCACGGGCGATGTCTAGGGGTTGACCATTGCGTCTCAATGGCGTCACTTTTGGCGCATACTCTTCAAAGGGTTGTATTGGGTCTCTCACGTGAGTTACACCCGGACTATAGATATCAATATATTAGAGATAAAAAGAAAGGGAGAGAGAGAGAGAGAGAATATTAAATACTCACTTAATAGTGTTGACACGAATACCTTTGGGCCCCAATTCCAGTGCTAATATTTTGGTCAACATATCCATACCTGCTTTGGCCGATGCATAGGCCAATGATTTCATCTAGTGGAAAAAACATAATGCTAATTTAAGTTATAATAAAAAAAATCTGTAATAAAAGTAATGTACTTAATTACTAGTTTTATAAATTTTTAGTATAATTTTTTTAAAATAATTATATGACAACTTTTATAGTCATATTTTTATACTATTGGATCTCAAATAATACAATTACTATAAGTTTGAACAAAAATTGCAACAAATATATGCTAAATAGTAAATACCGGTGCAATTGCGGCGATACTTGAAATATCAATAATAGTTCCGTTAGTCTTCTCCAGATGTGGAACCGATTGATGGATGAGTTCTACGACAGCGCGTAAATCGACGGCAAATATTTGATC